GGGACAAGGTCTCGCCAAGTTGCCCAGGCGGGTCTCGAACCCCTGTGCTCAGGCAACCCACTCGCCTCTGTCCCCCAGAGTGCTGGGATTACAGGCGAGGCAAACACGTCCTTTTCCGGTAGCTTCCTCCAAATTGTCCCTAGATCACAATCGCGTACTGGGTCAGTCTTCCATATGTTGTACCCTGTCCCCTAATCAGTAGGTTGTAAGGTAAGACAGCCTACTGATGCCTAAGGCTGGCCTGACAACTTTTTCTTTTTTTTTTTTTTTTTTTGTTGGAGTCTCACTCTGTCGCCCAGACTGGAGTGCAGTGGCCGCTCCCGGCCACCGCAGCCTCGACCTGCTGGGCTCCGGCGATCCTTCCGCCTCCGCCTTCCACGTAGCTGGAACTACAGGCACACGCTACCATGCTCGGCTGATTTTTTGATTTATTGTAGAAATGAGGTCTCACTAAGTTGCCCAGGCGGGTCTCAAACCCGCGGCTCAGGCAATTCACTCACCTCGGCCTCCCAAAGCATGGGATTTCAGGCTGAGCCACCGAGCCCAGCTCTTTCAATCATTTTTAATCTAGATTTCTCATGGCTTGAGGAAAGGGTAACTTGATTCCCTAGTTGAGCTAGAGATTTTTTTAATGAAATAAATATGAAAAACATACGTATTCATCTTCTAAATGCTTTCAATCCTACGGACCAAGTATACTTTAAAATGAACTAGAAAAATTACAGAAAAGGGGCATGGCGGTTTAAAAGGCAAACCGTCACCACTGCCTTTTCCACAATGCCTACAATAACACAAAGGCTTATGGCAAAGAAGCACCTAGCTTTAACGTTCACAGTGCAATTGTAGGAACAAAGACTAAGTAAATACATAAAATAACTTAACTTTTAAATCAATAGAGATTAAAATAAAAATAAAATAATCTCTATGTATTTGTCAAGATCAATATACTTTGTTCTAAAATTACCATGGCTTTGATTCCTTTGAAGTTTCAAATAATGCTAAAGACAGACATAGAATTTTTAGGTTTCATCAAAAGGAGGCATGGGCTTTTAAAAATAAGAACCTCTCTTTTAAAAGGAGGTAACTTTTGAGGTAACTCCAGTAAGAATTCACATTAATATTCCAGAGGACACCTCTATTTAGTGCTCCAGTTCCTGAGAAAGAAAAGAGCCATGGCATAAAACTGAGATTTTCTTTTTATAGTAGGTCTGAATTCTAAAGCCCAGATGAGAGAAATATTATACCAGCTTTGTCTGTTAAAGATGAGGTTTCACTGAGAAAAGGTTTTTGTGCTTATTTTAAAAACTGAATTCCCTTAGAGAGCTACACAAAGAGAACACTATATGATACTAACACCTAATTATAGAATGAAAAACGAAACCCAACAACAGCCAATAAAGAGACAAGAGAATTTCATACTATCCTCGGGTTTTTTTTTCTTTTGTTTTGTTTTCAGGTTGTTTTTAAAAAGCCTTTTCTTTAACATATAAAATCATATAATCGCTTCTTAAGGTTTATTTATAAAAAGAAAAGCATTTTTATTAATGTGAAAAGAAAAAATTGAGAAACAGAGTTCTAAACATTCCAGTTACAAAATATAATAAAACTTCTTACAAAAGCAGCAGTGCAGATAATGGTGGTCATCACTAGGAAGTATATTCACCCATTCTTCTGCACATATCATAATTAAAGACTGATACAGAATTTTAAATCCTTATAGTACTTCTTAACATAAAGTTTGGTACAACCACATGTTTCACTTAAGACTTAAAGAATTGACAACAAAACTGTCTCTGAGTGTTTAGACATAAAGAGTTATATTTTAATTTACTTAAGTTTGCGTGTTTGTTCCAGGCATATGTAAAGACAATTACCAATAACAACTGCTCTGTGAAGACTTCTCCAGTCTCCCAAGCAGTCAATCAATTTCTCTTTTATGGTCCTATAGCATATTGTTGACACTTTTATCATATATTTTCTCATTTTCTTGTCTATGTTGAAATATTTTCCAGGACAGAAGCCATATTTTAGTTAATTTCATATCCTCAGTATCCACAGCAGTAACTCAGTAAGAACTTAGGAAATGAATGAATGAGTGAACCAACCAACTAATTACAAAAATTACAAACAGACAATACAAAAGGCCTAAGGAGTGGTTGTACCATCTTTCCAGATTCTACAGAGGGGGTGACTGGGAAGAAAAGCATTGCAAAGACCAAAAGTTTAGAAAAGCTGTGGTTTTGTTGGTATTCTGAATACTTAAAAGACAAAAAAAAATAGTATTTCCACTGTTCACTGTCAGCTTTCACTCGTAAAGAAATAAAGTGGCTCTTATTCTCTGCATATTTTTGGCCAGCTTCTGTCTTGCAAAGTTGTTTTTGACACAAAGTTACTCCAAAATATATTTTAGGTGAATATTTTTCATTCTTGTGAAGAATACCTGTCTTTGACATCTGTATCAAGGCTATTTCAATTTGTCTTTTTTTTTTTTTTTTTTTTTGAGTTGGAGTCTCACTCTGTCACCCAGACTGGAGTGCAGTGGCCGCTTCTGGCCACCGCAGCCTCGACCTGCTGGGCTCCGGCGATCCTTCCGCTTCAGCCTTCCGAGTAGCCAGAATTACAGGCGCGCGCTACCACACCCAGCTGATTTTTTGATTTATTGTAGAGATGAGGTCTCACCGCCCAGGCAGGATCGACTCACCTCAGCCTCCCAAAGGTGCAGGATTACAGGCTGAGCCACCGAACCCGGCTTTGTCATTTTTTTTTGTAGAAAAAATATTACATAAGACCCATTGCTCATGTTATTACAAAATAAATAACTGAAGAAGTGATGAAAATTCATGACATTTTAAGATTTTATTTTCTTAAAGGAAATTAACTGTTCATAAATTTCCTTTAATATATGCAGTAACTCTGGCCAACCCGGGGCTGCGGGGAACCCTCCCCCGGGGGAACACCGGTTAGCTGGCTGTGAAGGCAGCTCAGAGGCAGTGAGGTCAGGTGGGGGGACAAAATGTGGCTGTTTCTTTGGCTCAAACTCCTAGGATGCTCGACAGGACCGAGTTTTTTGGAAGAACCTCAACTCACTCTAACGTTACTTCTACTTTTTCAATTGTGCTATGTTTGTATGTATTAGAGCCTTTGAGCGTGGGCACCTTTTATTAAAGGGGTCAGTTTGGTGTTTGCTGTTGAGCTAGTTGCTGAGTCTCAGACTCCCATGGGAAGGCAGTCAACTCCATACACTACTATATACCATGAAATGCTTCTCTGTTACCTGCCACACCTGCTAACAAACATGCAGACTTCTGGCATAATGTGAACTCAGAACGAAGTGGAAAATGTAGGCAGCCATTCTGCAGCAATGTCGAGGATAGCACCTTATCAAAATGAAAACTGGCTTTCTTATCTTTGGAAAATCTTGAACTGTGTATTGCTCAGAACTTAAATAAGCATGCCAACATTTCATCTGTTCATGTGTGAAGCGAAATGTTTTACTTTTCACTGGAGAAGACAAAACAAGGTGATCTTCATGTGACTGTTTTATACAAGTGATGAAAATGTGCCTTGTTTAGAGGCAGATTCATATTTATAAATATTTTGTCTTTGTTCCCTCCATGAGACATATAGTGATCAGTTACCTGGAAGGTGAGCTTTATTCTTTTTTTTTTTGAGTTGGAGTCTCACTCTGTTACCCAGGCTGGAGTGCAGTGGCACACTCATGGCCACTGCAGCCTCAACCTGTTGGGCTCAGGCAATCTTTCTGACTCAGCCTTCCAAGTAACTGGAACTAAGGCGCCCACTACCACGCCTGGCTCATTTTTTTGATTTATTGTAGAGATGAGGTCTCACCAAGCTGCCCAGGCTGCTCTTGAACCCCTGAGTTTAGGCAATCCCCTCTTCTTGGCCCCCCAAAGTGCTGCGATGACAGGCTTGAACTACCACACTGGGCCTATTCTATTTTTAAGGAGAGGCACTTTCCAATTGAAAGTGACTGATATGGGGAAATGTTTGCACTATATACAATGCAAATATTTGACTGCAAGTTACAAAGTTTAAGAGAATGATGGTTGGTATCTAATATGTTTAGCTCTGATTCATAAGAAAAACTATCAAAATCACCTTTGGAAAAAAAAAAAATACACAATAAACAGTTTTAGTTTCTCCTACCTCTCCTTCAAAACAAAAACATAATCTCCTGAAAAATATGCACTGGAGTGAGAATCTGGAGACCTACAGTTTTTTCCCACGTTAATCACTCAATGTATAATCTGAATATATCAGTACCTTCCAAATCTCTATCTGCTCATCTATAAGTGGGAGTAGAAGTAATCAGCAATTTTCAAACTGAACTATTAGAAGCCCTGGGGATTCTGTGTTTGGAGGGTGGAGGAACAAAGGATAATTTTAAATTTGTACTTTTTTTTTCTCTTTTGTTTTGTTTTGAATCAGAGTCTCACTTTGTCGCTCAGGCTGGAATGTAGTGGCACACTCATGGGCACCACAGTCAAGACCTGCTGGGCTCAGGAGATCCTTCTACCTTAGCCTTCCAAGTAGCTGGAACCACAGGTGCGCACCACCACACCCAGCTAAAAAATTTGCACTTCTTAAAAAGAGTTCAAAAATCACTGTACTATATGATTTGTGAGGATCCTTTAATGTCCAAAATCCCATTTTTTCTATTTCCTTATCCTTATTAAAGACAACTGCTAGTCTCACATTTTTAAATTGAAAAAATAAAAAACCCAATACACATATCCATCTCAAAAATCGTACAGTGTATGTGCTGGAAATCACCCAACTCTAACACTGATGGTACCTCCTGAAAACAGGAACATGATATAACCACATAACCACCAGGGAAACATGGCCTGCCAGAGACCAAAGACTAGAAAGTATTTTGCTTTTGAGTGAGCTAGTCAATTATCCCACACGTGTAACTTTGAATATCATAGGCACTAAAAAGGCATATCTAAGAAACTGAATTATTATTTTTAAAATACCTGTACTATCAACTGTAACTCTCTTCTTTCTGCTTCCCACTGTTCTGCTTGTAATCGAAACTCCTCCAACGCCGTCTCCCTGATATGAGACTCCATCTTGTTCTTCTCCTGTTGATGCTCTTCCAACGCTTCCTTTGTACAAATAAAACCTTGCTTTACTATTAGATCAGTAAAAGCTATCTTTCTTCCTTCAGCCCCAGTTTAAATGTATAAAGGGGTTCGCCTTACCTATAGACTATTAAAATTAATTATAATTCGTGTTGAAACCATTAATAAAAACTATCATTTTGATCATCAGAATATAGATCTGAATAAGAAGCTATGACTACTGATTTAATTTAAACAACATGTTATACATACTTGTATGTATAGGCATATATTTGACCCACTTTTTCTGAAAAATTTTCAGAGACTTGAACAAAATATCAACATATAACATCATTATATGATAGACAAAGGCAAAGTATATTCCATTTAATATGAAAATCAACCTATAAACACAGTGTAGTGGCCATGAGTGTGACACTGCACTCCAGCCTGGATGACCGAGTAAAACTCCAATTAAAAAAAAAAAAAAAAAGGCAAATGCAGACAAGTTATATATAAATCTAACACAGGACAATGTATTTCCAACAAAAAGGGTTTTTTTGCAACAAATCAGGATAAGGAAACTCTAGAATAGTAAAACTTTGAAAAGCAAAAAATAAAAATAAAAGTAAGTTTGGGCTATAATTTCTAGTTCTACAGATAAACAATCTTTTTCTTTTTTTTTTGAGTTGGAGTCTCACTCTGTCGCCCAGGCTGGAGTGCAGTGGCTGCTCCCGGCCACCGCAGCCTCGACCTGCTGGGCTCCAGCGATCCTTCCGCCTCAGCCTTCCAAGTAGCTGGAACTACAGGCGCACGCTACCACGCCCGGCTGATTTTTTATTTATTGTAGAGATGAAGTCTCGTCAAGTTGCCCAGGCGGGTCTCGAACCCGCGGGCTCAGGCAATCCACTCACCTCAGCCTCCCAAAGCACAGGATTACAGGCTGAGCCACTGAGCCCGGTTGATAAACAATATTTTTTTTTATTTTTTATTTTTTGAGTTGGAGTCTCACTCTGTCACCCAGACTGGAGTGCAGTAGCCGCTCCCGGCCACCGCAGCCTCAACCTGCTGGGCTCCGGCGATCCTTCCGCCTCAGCCTTCCACGTAACTGGAACTACAGGCGCGCGCTACCACGCCCAGCTAATTTTTTAATTTATTGTAGGGATGAGGTCTCGCCTGCCCAGGCGGGTCTCGAACCCATGGGCTCAGGCAATCCACTCACCTCAGCCTCCCAAAGGCGCGGGATTACAGGCTGAGCCACCGAGCCCGGCGATAAACAATATTTTTAAAAAGCTTTTTCTTTTAAGTTTTCCTAGGTATACTACATTAACAAGATCTAATTTAGTTCAAAATCTTAAAAATATAAAATGCAAGTTTGCTGAGAAGCTCAATTTTCTAACCCAGAGGGTTTTAAATTAAGTTCCCATTAACACAAGGAGAAAAATTCTTTGGTTTATATGAGAGAGAAATAAAGCCTGGTAGCACAGATCTATATAATAAAGATTACCTTATAACTTTCACTAATAGAAAGCCATCACAAAGACCCTTGAGGCATTTTCCCTTTAAGGGCTAAATAGTGACTCCTGTTCAGCCCCAGACTCCCCCAAGGGTCTCTGTGCAGATAAATTAAAAGACAATAGTCAGCTGCTCAGTGGCTCAGCCTGTAATCCCGCGCCTTTGGGAGGCTGAGGTGAGTGGATTGCCTGAGCCCGTGGGTTCGAGACCCGCCTGGACAGCAAGACCTCATCTCTACAATAAATTAAAAAATCAGCCGGGCGTGGTAGCGCACGCCTGTAATTCCGGCTACTCGGAAGGCTGAGGCGGAAGGATTGCCGGAGCCCAGCGGATCAAGGTTGCGGTGGCCGGGAGCGGCCACTGCACTCCAGTCTGGGTGACAGAGTGAGACTCCAACTCAAGAAAAAAAAAAAAAAAGCCAATAGTCTAAAATCAAAGCAGAGTTCTCCATAGTAGCTAACTAAGGTCACATTAAGATCTAATATTTTTAGGTGCAGGCTGATTGGCTGAAGGAATGCCGCCACCCTCACCCTTCTTTCCCCAAAACTCCAAGACATTTTATGGGGGGACGTTTATCAAGGCCACACCTAAACTTCCCCTATTTCTATACTAACGGAGTCTAGGAATACAGTAGTACACAAAAGAGACAATCGATGGCTGTTGATGTGGAGGAAATCAAAAGCAGATCTACTGACAATGAATGTCTGGGAACCACTGTGCTAAAACCTGCATATTTAGAAAATGTCTGTAAAATTATTTTTTAGTAAAGGAACAATTCTAGAATTCAGAAACCATTTACAACAGGGGTACACGTAGGACATTTTTTATCAGAGTTTTATCAATAGGGGAAGTTTAGGTGTGGCCTTGATAAACGTCCCCCCATAAAATGTCTTGGAGTTTTGGGGAAAGAAGGGTGAGGGTGGCGGCATTCCTTCAGCCAATCAGCCTGCACCTAAAAATATTAGATCTTAATGTGACCTTAGTTAGCTACTATGGAGAACTCTGCTTTGATTTTAGACTATTGGCTTTTTTTTTTTTTTGGCTTTTTGAGAGATGTGGTCTATCTGTGTTGCCCAGGCTGGAGTGTAGTGGCTAGTCACCAGCTCAGTCATAGCACGCTATGGCCTCAAGTGATCCTCCTACCTCAGCCTCCCAAGAAGCTTGTACTAAAGGCATACACCACCACGCCCAGCTTTATCATGTATCTTCAAAAAAACGGCAGGCTCAGTGGCTCAGCCTGTCATCCCAGCACTTTGGGAGGCCGAAGCAAGTGGATTGCCTGAGCCCATGGGTTCGAGACCAGCCCAAGCAACTTGGCGAGACCTCGTCTCTACAATAA